TAGGAAACCACTCCTAGCACTGTCCGACGCAACGGTTCAAACTTGATACATAATTAAGAAAAGAGTTGGAACAGAATTAATTGCGGATTGTCATTATATCAACCAGTAGTCAATTCGCAAACATCTCAATTTCCCTTCTGCATATTCTATTTGAACAACGACCAGTTTTAAACAAGGTTTTAACTCGCAATATTACGAACCAATAAATAGAATTTTACAGTTCCTACCGCTGAAGAGTGAGAATTTATTAGTGACTATACTACGAATAACAACACCCCATCGTCCAGTGAGATTAAATAGCATTAGTGCCGTTAACACTCTAGAGTGGCAATAGAGTGCACAAGTTGGCAAAGATTTATCAACGCTGCCTATTGCTGCGTTCCAAGGCAAATGACAGGTACCCTGGATGATCTTCATTAAAACCAAGGTGACATGGAGCCTGACTAGTAGTATGTATGCTTCACCAACTCGCTGGCTGCTAGTTTCGAAAAGGGTGTTTTAATGGGGCCTACACGAAGGTTTCACTTGCGAATGTTTTACGATAACATTGAAGAAATCATGCTACGTTTAGGTATAATTTACACAAAAATGAAAAAAAAAACAAGTTGACATTTTAAGGTTACAAAAGAAGTTTCTTCTTCCAAATAGCATACGAAGCACAACAAATCCTGAACTAATACCGGAGCCAACTGATGTTGAACAAGAAACAAATTGACGCTAGCGCCAAACCCGTCTTTTTGATAATGACATAGCTCTACACTTCCTTTTCTGACGCCTGTCATTAACCCTTCGGGGGGTCGTCGTACTGTCAGCTGAAAGGTTACCACCGAAATTAGGTGCAAGTCAGGCCCTTGAACTTATTTGTTGTTGCATGCGCAATAAAGTAAAGGTTATTGTTTTTTGTAACACATACCAACATGAGTACAATACAGAGTAGCAATTGACCCCTACGCGTTTATCCAGGCAATGAAAACCAATTTACGAAAAATCAAGTGCTGCTTATAACAGTCGGAAATCCCTGCCTAAGCATCATTACATTTTCAAATTTCCCCTGAATTAATCCACGGGATCAAATGCTGAATGCAAAATAATGGAGTAAACTTGCATTGGAAGCAAGCTGTTAGAGCAGATGGCAGAACAGTTCCAGCTCACTCGTTAAAACAGTAACACGTTAATGTTTAAGTGTGATGATAAGGAAAGTTTGGGAGTAAGCATGCAGCGCATTAAAGGGGCGTGCAAAGCGTGCGGCGTTAAACAAGAATAATGGAAGTACATGAAATATTTTATAAAAAAATTATGATTACAAAGACACAAAAATAAGTTTCCATCACTTCAATCGGTCGATTAGGCGAGGGGGAGTCTTGAATTGGACGAACTCAGCAATGGAGGGTGACTGTGTGGGAGTAGATGCCAAGAGTGAGGACTCTAGAGTGAGGCGGCGCTCAAATTCACTGGTAAGGCGGACGGAGATAAAGTCACATTGGCCAAATGACTGGCTGAGGCGCTTATCTGCGGGGGGTGACGGAGTAAACACTGCGTCTACAGGGGGCCTGCATTGATAAATAATAGATAAATGCGATAGTTATATTTGATATGAGTGTTGAAGAGAGTTGAAGCACTATGGTTATTTCAAGGTGGCAACAAGTAATTTGAAAAAGACCGTAATTCCGCCAATTATGACTACTGAAAACTGGCTAGAAGGGAGGCTTAGTAACTTTTCTTCAAATACTTGGCACCCAATGGATTTGACTGACGTGAATCATACATCTTACAACAGACATTCCAATCAAGATGGTTAACTGTACTTGCTTTTTAGGACTACGATTATCCTAGGCCCACTGGATGACGTTGGTGTGAGAAATTCAGGATTTTGCTTAACTCGACTAGCTAACAAGGGAGCAAATAACAGAAAAGTTCCATTCTGGCCAAAGAACTATTCAGGGACAAGAAAGCCGCATAAGACATTTCACTTAAGAGCACTACTTTCCCAAACAGCGTACAAAAACTGATAGCAGATAACAGGACTTGGCAGAAAAGGCCAGGACCTCCCATCCTGTGAAACTTGTGCACAATGAGGAGGGTGGTGGTTACCTGCTTAGATGCGGCGGGCTTTCGGTAAATGAATCCCAGGGGGATAAATTCCGAATAGTAGATTTTTTAGGTGCTTGTTTAACAAAGGCATCTATCGGTCCACTTTTTGCTTCATCAGCAGGTTTGCACTTCAGCTTCGTATTCACCCTTTTATCTTTCACTGTCCCTGCATTCATTTTCGCACTGAGCGATTTCAATGACAAGGACTCAAACATTATTGCGAGATGGGGGAACGCAACGCGGAACTCGGCCACAGGTAAGGAAATTCGGTAACCGGATTCCGTAAAGAAGTCATTCAAAGAGACTAATGACTTCTCCAAAGATGAGGAAGTTGCGATGCCTTTCGACCACATATCATTGTCTGTAGATGACAGAAATAAAACAGAAATCAATGTCAAACATAACGAATACCTCCATTTTTGTCGACGAATGTGACATGTATAAAAACAACTGTATTCATTACGTCGGCAACTGTTACTACTTTTAAGAACGCTAAAGAATTATGCAATCAATGAAACCATACCGAGAATGTTGCTTAACGGATTCGCGCAGGTATTGGCCCAGTTTGTATCACATGGTTTATTTTTAATTCAAAGAATATAGAAAGCATACTCGTTCTAGCATGGAGTAGGACTTACCTAGGCGACTCCATTCAACTTCGAAACAAGGAAGATAGTTGACAGAACGCTTTCGGATAATTCTAAAGCACATAGAGCAATACATGTCAAGTATTGGTTATAATCGATTCTGCATTACAGATAACATGATTGACTAGTTTACGCTTTCGGAACACAAATAGAAAACAGGTTCGTTGGTCAGAAATGAGAGTCCCGGTTGCTTGTTCTTGTCATAAGAACCTAGTCAGACCACACATTCATTGATGTGTGGAAGTTATGTTTACCAAAGCAATCTTAATACCATTTAGAGAATAGTAAAACCATGATGATGACTTAAAAACGGCAGTAAACTGATAACATGTCGGCGTAAACATGAGTGGAACGAGAGTAGACAGTGTAGTCAGAATCACTGTGCATGGGAACGAACCTTAGCCCAAAAGAGCACCTCAAAAGTTACATAAGTATGGGTGAGTTGATTCAAGTTGGTACGGGTGTAGAAACAAAAACTGTTAACAGGACTATCAAATATTTGGAAATACAGACTCACCTAAGGGGCTGCATAGGATCACGAGGCCGCTCTACCCAGGTCGACGCTGTTCTCATTCGAACGATCCATATAGCTAAAAGTGGAACGAATTGTGCAAGAGCGTATCTCGGCTGCCAGTCAAGAAACTCGATGCAAAGCTCAACAGCGCAACGGATGTTCGGTTGGGACCAAGTGAGAGACTCCGCGGTGGGCATCTGCCAACCCCGTTTGTGCCACGGGGTTAGGAATTCATTTAGCACCTGTGGTGGAAAAGAACATGCAAGGGCATGTTCATGCAGTATCAAAGCAAGAGATCATAAAGGGCATAACTTGACCATTGAGATTTATATCTGTTATGCAACCACAAAAGAAACTACCTGGTGGTCAAATTGGAATTCAACGTAATAGGTTGCATCACAAACAATGGCTGAAAGCATGGTTAAATCAAACTAAATAATCCCGATTACTTTTCACGGGAAAGCTAGATCACACAACTTTGCTATAGCACACAAAATAAACGAGTGCTAAGTTAGATTTGCACTAGAGAAATATAGGTAAGAAGAAACAAGCACCTCAGATACGGGACAGTCAGCCAAACATGCTTTGATTTTCTTCCAAGTGGGACTCATCCATACCGATGCCTTATGTCCAGTCTCTTCTTTATGCTCCACTGTGAGGCGTTCGAAGGCTTCGACAACGTCCACTTGGGAAAGAAGCTTACCAACGGCAGTTGGGCCAACCTTTGGCACACCGGATGGCCAATAATCGCAACCAAGAATCAGACCAAGGAAAACCAGAGATTGACGACACAGACCCAGCTCCGAGTGCACACGTTTTGCGCAATACGCCTCGACCGAAGCGTCCTAGTTATAAAAGGGGTGGGTCTGTTAAATCAACCCATTACAGACGAAGTACCTATGATAAAAACTTGCAAAATGTCTAATTCGAGAGGAACTTTATAGACGCTTTGAAAGACACACCAATTGGACCGTTATATGATAAACAAGAGACGTTAACTAAATTAAAGACTTGTAACTAATTGGGGCCACTCTGCACAAACTGAGGGTAAGAATATTCTCAGTAAATAAAAGTTGTGAAAAAACCTTACCCGAGAATTTAAGGAGAAGTGTCGATAAACCAATGAGGCGCCGTAGAGGAAAGCATCACCATCATTCGTCACACAACCATCGACCAGCTGAGTAAGAAGCAAAAGCATTGTAGGACATGAAAAGTGCAAGAACTCAATGCAAACGTGTTAATGGTAAGGCAAACTATGTGTTGGGATAAAATGTCAAGGGAATTAAAGTAATCCTAGAAGACAGCTGAGAGAAAACAACAGGATCTAACAATAAACATACCCCCTCGGAATTAAGGAATGCGCACATAGCTTCAGCCTCACCGGGACTTGCGACGCAGGGGACTCCAAGAGCTTTTAACAACCGAAAACACTAAAGGAATCGGAAAACGTCCATGCGGGGTATGGAAATCCTCCTAGCCAATACAAATTTCATATCCCTTGGATTGCAGCGCAATCTATGGGAACTGTGCGATTCTAAGGCATCAAAACAGCTGTAGAAAAATTAACAACACATACAGGCACAGCTTATCTTATGAATCGGTCGATTGGTAGCAAGCTGTGAAAACTGATTAAGGAGGCAAATGAGTGTGCACATTAGTCAGGTGACGTCCCCTTGGTAAAAGTTAATTGTACACAAATAGACTTCTGCTAAAATGTTGTCATTGAGAATTTGCAAGTGAAAAGGCCAAAATCTAACACACATGGGCTTGCAGCAGCGGCCACAAGCAACACTACTTGCCCCCTCGTTAACAGCGTGACAGACCATAATTGATCGGCGGAAAAAAGGATTAGATGCAGCGAATTGTACCTCTTACTAGTAATAACAAAATATGAGATGTAGTGTTAAAAACTACCCCCATGATCCACCGACGGGTGACTTAGAAATGGAGAGAACCGGTCACCCATTAAAGATGACTTTAGAGAAACAGCAGTCTGGCAAGAGCTATAGGCACTAGTTATATTGGATAAAAAAGAGAAAATGTATAAAACTGGACATACACGATGTAGCCAAAACGCGTTAGCGCTAAATATATGCGGATCGCTCCAACCTTATTTCTACAACTATGATTAAAGATATAGAGGTATTTCATTGGAGAATCCTGAAGTCTTAAGAATCACAGGTTTAAGATATTGGCCCTCTCGAAAAGTGAGTATCACCTCTTGGCGGAATCATCTAGTGTGTAGAAGCCCGGTGTGAGAGAACACTGGTCATCAGGTCGCAAAACCGAGCTGTGTCCGACCCCGACCGCTTATAACTCATAGACGTGCGTTAGGGGTCAACATCTATCGGTGAACTTAGACGACGGAGGTTGGATGAAACAGTAAACAGAAGATGCGCTAAATGATCAGGTACGCGAGACGAGTGAATAGCTCAGACGTGGAGGTGGGCAAAACGAGGGATAACCAAAGTGTCAGGACAAGCGGATTAACTAGGAGAGCTTCAGTTGAGAGAATTACAGTAATGCGCAACAGCTGTTTCCAAAAAATTACGACCCCAGGAACGGCCATAAAAGTGGCAATGACGCCTGAATAAGCTGGTCACCAAACATTTAAGACACTGTAATTGAGTTATGTTAGCGATACGAAGAAGATCCGATACGCGGCCGCATATGAGGAATACCTGGGTAGATATCCTATAAAATTGTGGTCTCTTCAGATTGACGGGTTTTGCAGTTTCTTGTGTATTTGTAAACCTACAATAGTGAAAGGATTACTTTCGAGAAAAATTACATTTGTACCCAAAAAAAACACAGGTAGCATGGATAGATCTTCCTGATCCAAAAACTAAGAAAAACGACTTTTGACCGGCAAACAAGGCAGCACAGATACGAAAGTTGGACACTAGAAATCGCTTAAGATGCTTTTAAATTAGTGGTCAAAATGTAATTTGACAACCTATGTCCAGATTTCATTCACCTAGTGGTATTTTTGAAAACACGTCAGCGCATTTGAAAATTTTGTTGATAAAAAGAGGACGTGGACATTCAGGAAAAGTTATAACAACTTCAAAACAATTGAAGTGAAAGCTGATGGTTCACGCCTTCCTTTCTAACTAACGAATCGAGATAATAGCATATACGTTAATTTTGAAAACATGGTAAGTTCTGAGTTCCCATTCATTCATTTTTAAAAAAACCGAAATGGGGAAGAAAGATTACAAGGTAGCGACTATTCGAGAAGACAAATCTTATTTGAATGCCACTTATTTATTTCGAATAAAAAAGACAATAGATGATCCCCTATTTCGAAAATAAGAACTAATGTTGAGCTAGACCTCTAAGCATTTTTTTTCCAATAGACAGGACTTCAAGAGGCAGTTGTGTTCACATGTTGGTATAAAATTTAGGCAATGATTTTTCTTGGTTTTTGGAGTACTATGTCACGAAAACAAGGCTTTTGGTTCATTGATAAAATTTGTTTGACTTATTTTCATAACGGGGGAACCTACGGAGATAATAACAGTTAAAAGTGGAATGGCAGGATGGAAAGATGCTACCAATGATGAAACTATTGTAGAAAAAAGAGAAGTAGTTAAAGTCGATTGCCAATTACGACCCTGTGTTTTCAACTATCCATAGATTTAACACCATTAAGACATCACATAAACCACCGATATTTTTGTGCTATTTTCGACGTGATTTACCTAGAGGCCTGGCGACGATCCCGCAACACAGATGCTTTGAGACCCGGTGCCGTACCATCTGTTACAGCGACAGGAATAATTGCCTCGCGAAGCAGTGCAATTAGGCGAAATATGAGATTCCTGGGGAAATGTTTTTATTTTAATAGTAAAAGTAGAAAATAAAAACAGCAAGTACGACAAATGTGGATCAATTGAAATCACATACCGAATATACAGCTTACAGCTGGTTCGTGCACGCTGGTTTACAAACATATCACAGCAAGTCCATCCACTGAGATCGACAGCTATTTTTTTACCTCCAAGACTACGGAGAGGAATGTGTTCCTGTACTGGACTCAACAGTGTCCAGAGACCATAAACACCCATTTTAGGACAAAATAGCACAAAAGTGATGCCTCCGTCAACAAAAAAGAAACCCTTTCTTCACTTACAATAAACTATTTTATATAAGCAAACGTTTGATGAGAGAGAAAGCGTGAATCCTGCAAAACGAAAAATGTTTCTATTAAGAGCGTCGGTCTTCACTAATTTCTCCATGATTTCTATTAGAGAAACAACTTTAAGAAGCACTACTGTAAGGGACATCAAAGTAAACAAAAAATTGAAAATTCCTTCACGTGGGTTATGATAAAAGTACTTAAATGCAAAATTCTGACAGCGTGCAACAATAGAGAAAGGTTCAATCAAACAACAATAATCTCAAGGAGATTAATTTGCCTCGAGTAGTAAGACATATCTACAAATAGCATGACAAAAGAAAATATACAAACAATGAATAGATAACTCATTTTTTACATTCCATAACAATCAGCAGTCATCCACGAAACTGGACAAAAGAATAACTTTAACAAATAATGAAAAAGAAGTAGGGCATGAAAAAATGTATCAGTGGAGTTGCCAATAGCTGCACAGGTTAAAAAGACTGTCAGCATAAAATGTACCAAAACAAAGCCTGTGTGGTGAGGTGAGGTGTGTTGTGGTGTGGTGTGGCGTCGGATTAGGGCGCAGACATATTAGACCACCTGGCCTCAGCCAATCCTGTTTCTCTCTGCAATCCAATGGCATGCGGGAAAGGAAGGCAGCCAACCAGAGAAGGACATGGATGAGATGCTGTATATAATGAGCGGCGTGGCCAGCGCGGGGACTCGGATGGAAGGCGCCTGACGCGTGGCTCTGGCTCCTGGTTGGTCAATAAAGCCTGTTCTGTTGCACCGGTCTTTTTCCTACTAGGGCTCGGGC